TCCTCGAGCGAGAACTCCAGAAGAGTTCTACGAGCAGCGGCCCATAAGACCCCTGCCAAGGCCAGGACACATCTCTACAGGAGGTCGGCCCCCTCGCGGCACTAGTTCAGTTTCCATTATCCAGACTCCCTCGGTCAGACGACCGAGACTACCCGCAGGACCATCAGGTCCAGATCTCAATCAAGGGACATACGTCGAGACCGCTACTGGGTCTCACTTCATCTATCCTCTCGCCGTTTCCATCATCTCGACTCAGCGCGTCGAAGGCACCCTTCGACAGATTCGTATTCTACTCACCAAACGATATCGTCGTCAGCTTGACGACCACGACATCTTTGACCTCGAGCATCTCATACTCAAGCTCGAATCCATCCGCACCAACATCGCGGAATTCAAACTTTCCTTCGTTCACCAACACGTGGTTCGCGATTTCTGCAACTACGTCCAGGAAAGGAAGCATCAGGGCGGAGAAGCTCGCTGGATAATCAGAGATATTATCCAGAAGTATCGTCTAGGAATACAGGTCACAGGGCGACCTTTGCTGTAGATACGAATAGTTCTTTTGTATATGTCTTCATCGGGCGACTCGAACAATCTTGATAACTTTGAGCAACTCAATCCAATCGGTCACACCTTCGATTATCTTTGGGATTCAATTCCACGTGTTCTTCGAGACAGAGCAGGCGAAGCGTTTGCTACATACGAGGACACGTTTGACATCGACTACCACGACGTATATCACATTTACGCCCTCCAAATCTATCCAGAATTTGATTGGAGAAACGTCGCAGTTCATATCTGCTATATCCCTATTGGATCCGAAGAACCCGAAGACCATCTCACCGAAGCTTACAATAGCTTCGTCGATTGGCTCGAAGAAGTCGAGCGTATTTGCGAAATTCATCACAATCATCAGTGGCCCGCAGTCAGGGACAAGACCAGGTTTTTGTGGCAACCCTTCGTCAAGGTCATTCATAACGATCTTTGGCTGCTGCGAAACCAACGCTCAGGACGAGTAATTGTCCGACAGGCTACGATCGCCAATAGGCATATCGCCGAGTTCGAAGAACATCTTCGAGAAATAGAGGAAGAATTGTAAGATGACGACTCTCACCCCCAATGATCCAAGCTTTTCTCGTGCTCCATCTCCGGAGCTTCCCGCACGTCTTAATATTGTTTTGCAACCCCCGAATCCTATCATTCATCAAGCCCTCGC